ACGGGTAAAAAGTTCAGGGATCCTACCAGAAAATGAACTTTCTAGGACTATAGTTACCTGAAATAACTGAATAAATTCCATCTCAGATAAAGCAAAATATTCTATCCCTCGAGCTCTCACCTGTAGCATATTCTATTTCTAATCCTTTGGCTCTTACATTATATTTTTCATTTAGATTTAGTGTTTAAAGTTTGACCTTTTTTTTTTATTCCATTTTATTTACTTTGTTGGGTTGAGGGGGTTTCAGCAATGTGGCTTCATTCTTCCATCATTATCTAGGATTGGTCCTTTTCTAGTCTAACTTTTATTTGTGGCATAGACAGAATTCACCAAATATCACATATGTCCCCCCAGATGTTTTTAGCCTCTTGCATTTGGCAGGGCCAAGTGATTAATTCTAACCAAGCAGCTGTGAGCAGAAGTGGCAAGTGTCATTTGCAAGCTGATTCACAGGAGAGCAGTGAGAGTTCTCTATTTACTGCTCTACTGCCATGTTGATTGTGGAGGCCTTGTTCTGAGATAACAGAACCTAAAGATGGAAACAGCCTGGTGTATATTCACTACCACCCCAAAGGGCCTCCTAGATCCACTGTAAGCTTTGAGTGAGTAAGAAGTAAACTTTTGCTGTGTCAGATATGGGAGTTTGAGGGTTGCTTATTGTTAGAGCATAACCTAGCAAGACCTGACTGATGTATGTTGGAAACAATACAGACATGCTTATAGGTGTGGACTTTTTTGGGTGTTGGAACAGGTAGGAAAGATTATAAGATTGGATAGTGGAAGAAGCCAGGTATGGTGGCATGTGCCTATAGTCCCAGCTACTTAGGAGACTGGGATGGGAGGATTACTTGAGCCCAGGAGTTTAAGTCTAGCCTGGCCAGCATAGCAAGACCCCATCTCTTTAAAGAAGGAAAGGTTAAATAGTGGAGACTTTACTAACTTCAAAGTCCTTTTTTTTGGATCAGAGTGTAAGGTACTGGCAAAGGTACCTGGAGCTAGTCCTGTCTATGGCTGAGTTGGCTCCTTGAGGCTTGGACAAAAGTATGGAATCTGATAAAGGAGGTAGAGATGCCCCAACTGCCTTAATATAGTATTGAAGAAGGGGTCAAAAGGCTGGGGGAGCAGCAGTGTTAAAATGGATATATTACATGAGATCAGAAAACCTGCCATATGGCTTTGTTACCACACAAGCCCAGAGGACATTCCCTTTGCTAAAGCTATAAAAAATGCATTGGTGAAGGGGTGCTAGTATTTTTGAGAATCTCACTTTTATCTGTCCTCTGTAAACTGTAGTTGAGTCCAGAACATGATATCATGGGATGGAACTTTCTAGTATGAATGGAGCTGCTAGGATTCCAGAAGGAAAAGGCAAGATAGCACCACATGACCAGCTTAGGCAAGGTGGATACAATTACAATAATGAGCAGCAAAGTCAGAGGAACTTCGACTCATGGGGCTCCACAGCCACATGACCACAGCATTGCAAGAAGAAACAAAGTCTATGTCCATTACCACTGTATTAATCACGGTTCTCCAGAGACACAGAACAAACTGGATAGATTAGAAAAAGAGAGAGAGAAAGAGAGAGAGAGAAAGAGAGGCAGGTTGATTATCAGACGGTCCAAGTAATGCATACTGGTCTCCATCACACCCGCATTCAACTCACCTGTGTGTCCTCTGTAAAAACCAGGGGGATCCTGTGGATGACAGGGAACAATTAACCCTATAATAGCCCAATTACAGCCGGTGTGTCAAATACGATACTATTACTAGAATAGAACGACACACCTATTGGCACTTGGAATCTAGCCATTGCTATGGCAAAAAACAAAAACAAAAAAAACAAAATGAACAAACAAAAACAAACCCCATTCCATCCCTATTTGTAAGACGTTTACTCTGACATGGGAAAGACAGTAATACACATTCATAGCCCCAGGGTTGTGTTGGTTCATGTGTTATTTAATAATAAGGCTATGTTCTAAGAAATGTGTCATTAGGCAATTCTGGCTTTGTGCAAACATCATAGAGTATGCTTACACACACCTAGATGGTATAGCCTACTACATACGTAGGCTATGCGGTACATAGCTTATAGCTCCTAGGCTACAAGCCTATAAAGCCTGTTACTGTACTGAATATTGTAAGCTACTGTAACACAGTGATAAGTATTTGTGTATATAAAGATATCTAAACATATAAAAGGTAAAAATATAGAATTATGTGAATGTTATGGGACCATCATTATATTATATAATCCTTCACTGAGTGAAACGTCATTATATGGCACACGACTGTGTATATATCTAGAGAGAGAGAGACAGACACAGGCAGAGACAGAGATTTATTATCGGAATTGATTCATGCTATATAATGGAGGCCAGAAGTCCCACCATCTCTCATCTTCAAGCTGGAGAACCAGGAAAGAGGATTGTTCAAGTCTGAAGGCCTGAGAATCAAGGGCCCCTGGTGTAAGTCCCAGAATCTGAAGACCTGAGAGCCAGGAGCTCCAAGATCCAAGCATAGGAAAAGATAGATGTCTCGGTTCAAGAACAGAGGGAGAGAATTCACTCTTCCTCACCCTCTTTTTTCTATGTGGTCTCTCAATGGATTGGATGATGCATACCCACATTGGTAAGGGTAGATCTTCTTTACTCAGTCTGCTGATTCAAATGCTAATGTCTTTCAGAAACGCCCTCACAGACATACCCAGAAATAATGTTGTTACGAGCTATCTGAGCATCCCTTTGCCCTACCAAGTTCACACATAACTTAACCATTACAACTACAAAGAGAAATTGAGATTATTAATCCAGTTTCTATATCTAAGCCAGTTCACTGACTCAGAGACCACTCACTGAAAGACTCTGCATGCCACAACAAGTATATATAACAAATAACACTCCAACCTTTCCCAAAGGGGCCTGCAGTCT